AATTCCCCTTTCACCACTAGCCTTGTAAATTTTTTGGATTTATATCTCTTTCCTCACTTAGATTTTAAAACTGGCATGGCAGCACCACACAGTTCTAGCCCTTTTAGTTTATTTTAATGCTCAATATTGTACCAGTAAAAGTATTTTTAAACTTACTATACATGGAAAGGGGAAGTTCTTTTCCAGTTAAAAAAAAAATGAGAGACCCTGGCTATCTACTTTAGAACTTTAGAACTTTCATATAACAAAAGATATGAGTAGGACTGCATACTCACTAGAGATTGTGGAAGAAAATTTTTTCCCCTTATTGAATTCCTGCTATAGCTAAGTGGCACTGTATGTTCTTCAGAGAGAAGGTTTGACACTGCAGCTTCGGGATTTCTCATGTACCAGCTTCTGAATGTTGTAAACACAGCTCCTGCCCCTCCCCTCGGTTATTTAACCAATATATTTATTGTTTTAATAAAGTGGAATATTCAATTTTATGAAAAGGAAACAATGAAGCTGTTCTGTTATATATAACATATTTGTCTTATGGACTATGCTTTCCCTCTTCTTGTCTTCACTTGTGTGAAATCTCTTTAGATACTCTTCCTTTGTTCTGTCATAAAATACATTAAATGTAAACCTGATTTTTACTTTTTCTACTTTAGGCAACAACTGTGGAGTTAAAAGTGAGGGAGAGGAAATTCATTCTAAAACATGAAACATGAAACAAGTGGAATTTTGGTTTGCACCTACAACTCCATGTTTTCAGTAATCTCAGAAAATATAGTAAAAGTTGTAAGTTGCATCTTAACTGCAAAGAATTCATGATTTGCAAGGGCTGATAATACAATATTTGTATAACATTTGCTATGCTTGGGTTTTCTCCTTCTGAGGGTGAGGTAGCAAATATTAAGCTGGACAGCACTCCAAATCTTGGTTGCATCTGCAATTCTGTTTTGTTGAGGTGATGATCTGCTACAATTAAATTACTTTCATCATTACTAGCTGTTTCTTAGCCAAAGTTTTGTATCTACTCTAGATACAGAGCAGTAACCTGCTTATATGAACTAGTAACTTATCTGTTACTACTTTATATATGAGTACTCATTGCAAACCAGAACATTTCTAAAACACTCTCCAGGGATTATAGCATTCCTTGTCTTCAAATTCTGAGATTCATTGGAAGAGAATGGTCTGAAATTCATTCTTATGTAGTAATTGACCAAAAGGCATATTCTTTTCCCAGCACCAAACTTGCAGTTTTCTTTCTAGCGTGACTGATATCTGAGTTCTTAGAGATCGTTTCTCTTATCCCTTTTTCTGGACTGTCTTGGGCATCCCATTCTAAATGTTGGATTTGTGTATTAGAAATAACTTTAATAACTGTAATACTGTTTTTTTAATGCAAGCAAAATTTTATATCTTTATATCACTTGTAACCTAGAACTTACACTTCATTTTATAAAATAAAAGTAATTTTATTTTTTAAAAATAGGCATTTTTAGCCAAATTTAGATTTCAGTTTTCTGCTCAAATCCACTTACATATTGACAAGAGCATGAAATGCATCAAGCATTCAGGTGGAAGTATGCCACTGGCATCAGCATGGAGTAGCAAAAGGTAAATTGGCATCGTGGATGCCAGTATGAAAGTAAAAGAGGATGTCTAAAGAGCGAGGCCGGATGCATTGAACAGGGCTCTGGGAGTTAGATTCATTACTGTCTGGAATTGCAGAAGAAAATGTTTCCATGGAAGTTGTCACTACAGAACTTAAGAGAAAAAATTTGCTTATTTCCCTGGGCAATAAACTTAGTTCTATGAGAGGGATAACAGGTTAGATTATTAAATGTTTAAATGAGGTAGTACTCAGAATTATGACTTCTGGGTTTTTGTTTGTTTGTTTCAGAAAATCAGCAATTATGTACCTTGGCTCTACCGTTGTTTCTCAACAAAAGGGTCTGCTTGTCACAAACATCTATATTCCTATCTTCAAGTAAGCCATGAGGCTTTCTATATAGTTTATTCCATGAAAGGCAATAGCACGGTACTCAAATGTTATTTTGAATAAAAAGCCACTTTGAGTGTTACGTTTGTTTTCCTGCATAGCTCAGCAATAAATGCATTTGTCTGCTCATTTGTTGCTTTGAAATCTTACATAGAAGTATCAGAATGTGGATGGAGTCCTGGGAATTTAGCTGCTCCTCTAGAAGTAATGATAACTTCTATGGTACTATTCCTGCTGTCATATCAGCAGTTGTGATTGTGCTGTTTTGCTATTCAAATTCATGTTCATGACTTCTCTTCCCTGTCCAAGTACATAGTAGTGTCTTTTTCAGTGTTTTCTGAAACCATGATGTTTCAGTTTTCACTCAATAGGATCTTGCAATAGATGCTCCATCTGTGTTTTGAGGAGCTACTTCATTTTGCCAGGAAGTTGTCTCAATGAAATTGTAGCAAGTGGCAGATGAGTGGTTTTAGTGTTTAAGACAGGAACGATGTTAACCGAAAAAAAAATGGAAGCAGCCATGTGAAGATACAAATCCACTTCTTCTGGACAAGAGGAAAGATCATTGAGTAGTAAGGCTTGTAATTATTTGAATGGTGTTATTGATATAATTCTCTTTGCCCCAGTGATAAAGTTGCTGTACGGCAATCCAGTAGATATCCAATTTGCACTGTTATTTGAATGATTTTTTTTCAGTATTTGTGCTGTGTCCTAAATTATCTGAACAGTTGGAAAGACTGTTCCGTAGGAGAGGAGTGATGAATTAAACTGAAGTAGGTCAAAATCCAAGGACACCAAAGAGACAAATAAAATGGACAAGAATAAGAGAAACATTTAATTTTGAGAAGACCTTGAAGGTCATCAGGGTCATTAACCCAGCATTTCCAAGTCTGCCATTAAAGGTGGAGTGTAAAGGGAGGGAGGAATAATGGTCTTAGGTTTTTTTTTTATCTGTTATTGTCAGTGTATAATAGGATAATGGTAGTATAAATACGGTTAACATGCAAGGAGTAGACTAAAACCACAAAAATTGCTATGTCAGTGGAGGATAACTCAAACCAGAGATCTAGTCAAATGCTGTCCTGATCTGTTCTGGGATTTTTCCCACATCTGTCTCTAAATTCAGTTCTACCATTATGACCATGTAAATCTACAAGGTAATAATAGTTATGTGGTGAGCCATTAGGGGGCCATATGTATTGAACTTATTTATAGCCTGCAGGTTTGTTTGGGGTTTTTTTAACATCTTGAAATATCTTAGCTTTCTGTATCTGTATAGCCTGTGTAAGTATATAATCTTAACTTAATTTCCTTTGTTCAACTTTTAGTGATTACATGTGCAGGTTGCAGATTGTCATAATTGGATTATGCACCTTTTGGAGAGGCTTTGTGGTATGCAACTCCTGGCCTCTGTGTAACGTGTATTTAAATAAATATTTATTATTTAAATACTGTTTACTTTATGTGAATAGAAACTTTATAAAAATTAAATTCTTTAATGTATTGGACTGTTTTTTTCTGTAATCCATTAATTTAATAAATCTGTATATTAGTCAGTTTCTGTTGCTGTCACTTTTCTACAGTTTTAACATTCGGTCTCAGTTAGTACTCAGGGTGAACAGTCCAATGTGTAAAATACCAAAGATCAAGGCTCAGCTTACTGCTGTCACACAGATGTTGTGCTGGGCTGACAAGCCCAAAATACGGAGGCAAAAAGCCTGGAAGCACAGCTATGGATAAGACATACTTGTAAGTTCTTTATACAGCACTGCATTAATCTAGTCACTTTGTTCCTGATTCTTCAGCTGCTTGGTTTAGAGGTAACTGTATACCATGCTGCATATACATACTGTCTGTTTAACTCTGCTCCAACCATCTAGTTGTTTTGTGCTTCAGTGTTCCATTTTGAAAGTGAGAGTAGGACTTCCTTATTTTAAAGTAGTGTTTCTGAAGTGTGACAGTTGGAAGGAGAAGGATCATTTATGTATGGAGAGAATATGTGCTTTTAATGTAATTATGATATGATACAGGTGTTAAATTCACATACAAGAAATCTGACAGAAGAGTGAGACTTTAGACATTGTGAAATCTCTGAACTACCTATGCTGTGCCATAGTAGGTAAGTTCATGGAAGGAAAAAATGTTAATTATTCATAATGCTTTGCTGTACCATAAAACTCGATTTATTGAGACTATAATTTGTTCAAGTTGCATGTAGTAGAAAAATATTTCAGGAGTAATTAGTAGTATGCAGGATGTGATGAGGTAGATATATCCACAGAGGACAATTGAAAACAGTAGCGGTGTGGTATTGATTGCCTTTCAGAGGAAAAAAAATCTTGTCTCTTTTCTAAATGTTAACAATTCAGAGAGAAAAATTCCCACTTGGGAAGAATGCTTTCCAGGTTGCTTCATTGCCAGGTGTTCGACATTGAGTGGAGCCTTAGATGAATGAAGCTTATGGCAGCTTTTGGAAATGACCGACTCCGGGGAATCTTGGCTTCCTGCTGTGAAAGTTTCCATTTTCAAAGCACATCAGTTTCAGTGGGAATGTTCCACTGGTCCCATATGCTACTTCTGACAGAGGGGGAAGTTTTTAACCTGAATATGAGACAGCTACTGAAGAAGTTCCCTTGCTGCTAACAAAATGAATTTCAATATGTTGCCAGTGAACAAGCGGCGTGTTCCCAACTGCTGATGGAATTTAACTCCTTCAATTTTTAATGGAAATTTTGCTTTAATTTCCATTTTTTCCCTGTCACCTTTTAGCTCCACTACTTTCTCCTGGTAAGACTTTTGGGTTCTGAAGTTGAATCACCTGAACAATATGCTAGTTTGATTTGAAACTCTTGGTATATTTTCCTCCCCTCCCTCATACACTCTCTCCTTGACCTAGCAGCAGGAAGCCTTTGTCTGAGGTGTTCATCTGGAACAACTTTTCCACACTTGTTTTCATGTTCTGTTAGATTACAGGGCAGCAGGCCTACCTTTGAAGCTCCCTTCTCTTTTGTTTCTTTGCAGTGCACTCCAGTAATTAACTTTGTCCTTCTTTTATTTGTTCCAGTCAATCGCAGTCCACTCTGCTGAGCATCTTCTCCCAGGAGTACCAGGTTAGAAGTTTTCTCCTTTGTGAGGGTTGACAGGTGCCTAATTGAATGATGAATGTCCCTTTATTTCTTTGTAATTGAACTGCCAGCTTTCTGATTGGTTTGGAGGATGTTCCTTTTTCCACATCAAGCACCGCCTGAGTCTCAGTGGATGGCTGCCAAGCCTACCCATCCATCTGTCTAATAACATCTAGCCTTTGCTTATTTGGTGGACCTGTAATAAATTATGCTAAACCATTATTATTCTGACAATAATAATTTCCCTGTGTTGCGTGGTTCCATGTGCTAAATGTTTGCTGACTTGCACTGTCAGTGCTGCTTTCCATTGCTGACAGAGATGATGATAAATGACCATTGCCGGAGTGGCAGAAGGCAAGAGAGGCAGAAAATGGAGTCATTTATCATGAGATGACAGGTGTCAGTCAAGTGGCAAGTCTCTATGGAATTACTTTTTGTAGTTTTTCAAATAAGTTGTTTTTAAGCAATGTTCTTCCTGGTTAAAAATGCCAATTGAATTGTAAAACCAGAGTGCACCAGACTTAGATGGAATTGAATTGAGGGAAAATTAATACAAAGGTTGAAAGAGAGAACAAGTTTTTCTTTGCCCTCAGCAGCCTTCAGTAAACTTATTTAGATTCAATTATTGTGACCTTACTGGCTTTTACATATGGTACATTGCAGTACACTCTGAAGACGTTCAATTCAATAGGTAGATTGAATGTCATTTCTGTGTGGAATCTAAAAGCATGGTTCACATCTATCAAAGTGTAGCCAAGGATCGCGTGTTTGTGTAGTCATGATTCCTGTGTTTTGATCTATGACACCTTTGTAAAAGTCGTTTTTTCATTTTTCCAGAAGCAAATCAAAAGAACACATGCCAAGCATCACACTGCTGAAGCTATCAAAACTTACTACCAAAGGTATGACCTCCCCACCCCAGTTAAGGCTCATCATAGATACTGATTTTTACAGCAGTTGTGAGTAAATTAGCTTATTAAGCTAATTTTATATAACAGTAAATTAAGAATTTAGGAATACGGAATGGTTCACCTAAAAATGTTTTTCACTGGAAATACAGAATTTTTTCAGGATTTGGTCATTCTGATTAAGAAAGAATTTACTTCCCTGGCTCTAAGTTAGGATAAGCAAATATTTTTCCAATGTATATGATGGCATTTATTATGTATTGCCTATAGTTTGTAATTTTTAGGATTTCTGTGTCAAGACTGATTTTGATGACTTCCTTACAGCAAGAGAGCTTGTTCTGCTACAGTTGCTTGTTTAAAACAACATTTGTGTTACATTACAAAAAGTTACATATTCATGTATTGCCAGTTAAAGCACTAATTTTTAGATCACTCCTGTTTTATCAACAGAAGTGTCAGAAATAGTTTTTAAGGGAGGATGAAAACCTTTATGTCATTTTACAATTGTTTGCATCTTAAGCTAATAAACTGTGCTTGCTACACCTTGTAGTTTTTCTGTTAGTTCCATAGGCTTTACTAAAAATATTCCAGTGACATAATTGGGGCATAGTGATAACAGGTAAAGATACGCAATTAAAATATTACTTTGTAGACTGACATATCTGAAGAGCATGCATGGCAAGTGAATTCCTACTTGTGATGTATGATATTCATGCTTAATACTAATCTGTATGAATCAAGAAAATAAACAAAGAGCCTTCATTTGTAAACAATTAAATGTGCTTCTGCCAGAGTCATGTATTTAAAACTTAACCACAGCCTGATTATATTATACACTGGTTGAGAATATCTAGTATGAGCTGTACTAGTTTGGGTGTTTGATTTTGGTTTTTTAGAAGTTGTATTCTTTTGTAAAATTTGTACTGGATCACATTGCACTTTTCCTAGGATTGATTGTTGTTTAGGGAGAATACTGGCTTAAAATTTTGTTGTGCTAATAACATGCATATACAGTACTACTTCTAATTATTTTTCACTAGAAGTTTCAGTGAAGTGGCCTGTGGTAGTTGTAACTGCTGCATAAGTAACCCTTTCCTTAGTCTATGTGTAAATCACTAGTTCCAGCCTGAAACATGGGACAAGATTTTGCTTTATGCAAAGCAGCAGTTGTATTGGTGTCAGTAGGGTTGTAGGTATGATTAAGTTTGTCTCACATCAGGTAGGAGGATTTGGTCTCCTGTCTTCTTCTGTAGTCTGAACTATGATAGCAGTACATAACTAATGCATTATGCATGAAGCTGTGTGGTAGTGGTAGGGAAAATCATTCTTTATGCTGTTTCTGAGTATGTCATTTTGCAGGTGTATTAACATGGCTGAGTAAAATGCACATGTTTTAAAATCAGAGATGTTCTGGTTAATAGCTAAAAAAACTCATTTCAGTCCTGTTTTAATAGATTTACTGTGTAGTATGTTTAGGAATCTACAGAAGCAGACAACTTGAGATAGAAGCCACTTTGAAATACTTCAGGTGTAAATATGACAAACAAGTCCTCTGCTCTTCTGTAGCATCCACTTTACTGCTGTGAACCCCAGACTGGGTGCTATGCTCCTTAGTATTTCTGCTGACATACAAGCAGATAATTGTGCTGTCATTGCTTTCTTAAGTCAGAAGCTACCAGGTTTTGAAGGTAGAGATTTCCTGTGGTCCCTGTTAGGAGCAAGTAAAATAGTTGAATAGAATAGTTTCTTCTACTTGGCTGAGACTTACTAGTGTGAAACTTAGGCAAGCACAAAGTACAAGAAGGATCAGCAGGTTTTCAGAACTGTATTACCATCAGCATGTGAGACCTGTTAGTCCAAAATGGAGTTGCCAGAAGCATTGGAAATATATGACAGAAATTTACTTCATTCTCACTGTGGCTGTTCGATCATCTAAATGCATGTTTGAGAACTTTAATCTCAAGTACATTTTCCTGGTTGAGTATTTTGTGTATGATATTCCATTTTCTTCTGTTATAAATTTATAATGTTTAAACATGTTTTGTGGGTTTTTTTAATATGGAATTGAAATAATTTACACCAAAAAGCTTTTTAAATTTCCTTAATTCGTTAAGCTTCAGAATAACTTGCAAGCAAAAAGCCATCTATTAAATCTAATGTGAAGGGGTTTTATAAAGGTGTACCACCCATTCCGCAGAAAGGTAAAATGATAAAGAATTTTAATGTCTGTAACTAATGAGCAGAAGAGTGTCTTCTGATGGATAGGTAATGATAGAGCTGGAAAGGCTTTGGCCTTCTAATGATGTCAGTAATGATGTGCTATGTGAATACAGATAGGATAAGCGAGCAAGTTCAAATGTTGGTAACTATTGTTCTTTTCCACATGGCTGCAAAGCACAAAGTGGCTTCCAATATCATAGCTCCTTCCCATCAGCTTCGGAACACAGGTTTCAGGTTTTATTGAAATGTAAATACCAAGCAGTGGAAGTAACAGAAGTGAGGAGAGCAACATTGTGTGAATTGATGGTCAGAAACATCATTCTGTAATACCCTCAACTAGAAACATTAAGCCTTTGCCACTGATAGGATAATGACTTTCTATCAACCTTTATTGAATCCTAAATATTTCTTCTTTTCTTTATAGAATATAAATTGTTAGACTGATTTCAGCTAAAGTAAGCCTTTAGTACTTAAATTACTGCCCAGTTGATGAAATCTGGAATAAATTTGAGAGTTTATGTTTTTGTATGTACTAGTGAATTGGGTAAGATATACACTGCACCTTCATAGTTGAAGGTCATGTGGAACCAAAAATCTTTACTGTGAATAATAGACGTTTATTTGTCTCTGATGCATCTTTAAGTAGTACAGATATAATTTATTTGTGTATTTATAAATTCACAATTTTTTAAATTTCTTGATATATTCAATTTTTTACCAGTGTCTTCATTGAGATGGATATATTTTGCAGATGAATAGAATAGGAGACAACCCTGGAGAGTTAGTGATTGCTTAAAATACTTCTTAAAAGATTATCTGTAATGCCAGTTAAAGCACTAATTTTTGGCATTATCTGTAATGGGGTATTTTCCCCCAAATGAAAAAGATTCACAAGGGATGCTGACATGTATAAAGTGGCCTTTTCTTGCCACTGCAAAATTACCTGGCTTTGTCTTGTCTAGGTATCTGAATGGGGTGATGAAAAATGCAGCTGCCCCAGTATTACTGGACCTGGCCAATGAGGTAATCATCTTTCTTTTTTCTTTAATCTTCCAGTGTAAAACCTGAGGGGCATATCTATAGTGACTTCAGTGAGAAATGTAATTAAGCTAAAAAAATGGTTTCAAGGCACATTAGACATTTAAAATGGTTCCCCAGTCTGTTAGTACTTAAAATAATTAGACAAAAAGCCACATTTATTAATAAATCAGTTCATGTAATTAGTATTTTAACTTCAAGGCAAATGCGTAGGATACCCTGAATTTGTATTTTGCTGAAAATTTCCAACAAGCTGCAGGTCTTTATTGCATAAACTTGCTAAAAATTCTCAAATTGATTAAATGGAGTTGTATCATTTTGATTCTTTGCCTTTAATAACAAAACCCATCTAAGTTATTACTATTTCTTAGTAATAGGAAGGCTTAAAACAGATAATTTTCCTGACTCCATTTATTTCTGTTCATATGGATTAGAGGATGGCTAATGAAAACTGCTTAAGATAAAGCACGTAAGCAGAATAAATTTTTCAGTACATGAAAAGTTCTGTATGGATGCCATTAAAGTCTTGACAAATTTATTGATGCTGTTTATTAATTAGAATATGAATTTGCCTTGTTATACAAGGTGTTATTTGTATTAGAAACTGCTATCTTAGCACTACATTAAAGAAGAGGTAAAAAGTTTGAACAGGTGGCAAGGAGTTTTCCTAGAAAAAAGAAATTGATGAAATACCTGTTTTTTAAACTCTAAAATATTTTTTTACTGTAATAGTAACAGTACAATAGCTGATAGTCCCTGGAACTGCTCATGCAATCCTCAAAGGGATAGAATGAAATATATGCTGTTTTGTGTTGCATTTTAATAGAAAATGTAAGAAGGAAGTAGAAAATGAGTGTTTGCATTAAAAATGATATGGTACTGTGAACATTAAGTGTAGCAATAGCAGCAAGTTCTACATGTTACATTAGAAAAAAAGAATGGTTTTTCTCTCGTGTACATTGCTGCAGCCAGCAAATGAGTGATTACCTATCAATTACTGGAAGGTTTTAATGGTCTGTGAAGTGTCTGTGTAACCTGATCGTACAGTTAGCATAGAATCAAGAATATATTTTGTTTTAGTGGTAATGTGTAGCTTCTTACCATCTCTGGAAAAGACAAATCTTGAAGTACTGAGAATAGAAAGTACTTTACATAAATAAGTACAATCATACTAAGAATTTAGGTAAACATCCCAATGGATGATATATTGCACCCATATTATATGGGAACTGTCATAAAAATATTTCAAGCACAGAGTAATATATCTGTTACTGCTTCTTTGTATATTTTTCGCATTGATTTAGAGATGATGCATATAATTTCTGACTCCAGTGAGCATATCTTTGTTTATATTTCACTAATGCATTTTTGCAATTCAGATCAAAGATATCTGCAGTTCAGAAATAAATAAAAATTAAGCCTAAGAGAAAGCGGAGATACATAAAAAACTTATTTGTTTCTGGTTTTGTAGTAGCAGGTATATCAGAAAGGCAATGCATTTTGTGACTGCCACCCAATGCATTAGGGAAACGTGGCAATAACCAGCACCAGATTACTGCTTCCAAACAATCAAGCTGCCATTTTTATATGATAGTTAATATTTAAATGACATACTCTTGCATCTGCTGACAATTGATGTAATGGTAATACTTTATGAGTCAATATATATTTAATCAGTGGAAACTGTAAAAATTGATGAGAAATATATAACATTGCTATATTACAGTATGTAGCAGCTCTGTTAAATAGGAAAAGCTCCATATTGTTATCTTTTGGGAATGCTTTTTGAGGGTTTATAAAACTACTTCTAATTCTTTTTTAAAAATGAAATTATTTGTCAGCTGTTCATACAGTATATGTAGTACAAAAAGACTAAAATAAATCACATTTTTGTTAGAAACAATAAATTAGTCACTGTTCTCTTCATACTAATATTTTCAAGTGAGATTTGAAGCACTATGAATTTTACTTACATGCTAAATTCTGACATGAAGCATGATGGCCCTATTTCAAAGAAAGATGGACACATGATTAATATGAAAATTAGGGCGATGCAAGTACCTGAACTAATAAGGTAGTCCTTATTCAGGCTGGACTACCTTCAGTAATTTCACCATTTTTCATGTGTCAGCTCTGATGTGGGTTACTGGAAATAAGCAGCTCCATAGAAAGCATTTCTCTCTACTTGGGGAATTTAAGGCCATCCAAGTACATACATATTTGGAAAAATATGTATGCACAAATGGAGTAACCTTTTTTGTATAGTTACTAAATCAGGATAAAATTTTTGCACTAACAGTGAACTTGAAAAGATGTCAAGAAAAATTAATTGTGGCAATGTGTGATCAAGGTTTCCTGTCTCATAGTTAAAATTCTGATTCACTAAAGCAGGATTTTAATGGTATCTAAAAAGCTATTGTAATTTTAGGAGCAACTAGGTTATACATTTTTCATACATATAAAAAAATTGAAATGAAGGAATATCTTTGTTAAAAATCAAAATATAAACTCTGAAGTAATTTTGACCAAGCCTAACACATCTGCTAGAGATATTGATGCTAAGGATATGTGGTATCACTTGATGGTTACCACATGAACGAGGATTCATACATAGAAAAGGATGACCACTTCTTTTCCTTGATGGATAACCTTATAAAAGGGATTTCACGGTCATCTTCTACAAAGGGTGGTTCAGATGCAAAATGTACAAACATAATAACCAGGATTTTATGTTGTCTACTTTATTTGGTTTTTCACTGGTACTGTGGATTACTACCACACATTTGGTGGAAATAATTGAGTCCAATAATTGCAAAAAGATCCTGTTTCCTCTATTTTGCTTTTTAGTTTTAATCTACAAATATAGTACAGTTCTGACAAGTGTGCATCTAAATGCATTTACCTCCTGAAATTCTGTTTTTGTTTTTGTTGGGCTAAGGTGGACTTTGCCCCATCATTGATGGCTCGTATTGTGTTGGAGAGATTTCTACAAGAAAAAGAACAAGCCATCCGTAAGTATCTTAGCTGGTTTTTTTTTTCTTTTGTATTTTATTATTTTTAAAATACTTTTTGTTTTCTCTTTTCTTCTGACTATGATAGAAAAATAATTACCACAATGCTGGAATTGAGATAACAAGGGTAACATTTTAAGTTTGGTATCTTCAACAGTTAATGACTGTTAAACTGTATGTAAGAAGAGCAGCCACAATTTAATTC